CTGTAATTTGTAGTCTGATTCTGCAACCATTCAGCTAGATAAATGCGTGTACTCATACGAACAACTGTAATTGGTCAACATATCAGAACCTCAACGTTGGTAAGTCCGGGTAACCGTTGTGAACAGAAATCCGTGTAATTGATACTGTCTGTGCGAGTATTTATCAAATTTTATGGAATATTTTTATCAAATTTTATCAAATATTATCAAATCAAAAATTTATCATACAAATTGTATCAAATAAAAAATTTTATCAAAAATTTTTGGTTATCAAATTTTCTAAAATTTTCCAAACTTACATCTAGTTTTATAGAATTTTCCAAAGTTGACAACAACAAAGCAGTAGTGAGAAAAGCACGAAATCTTCAGGATTTCGGAATGTACGATGTCACAGTGTTTCGATTTGTCGCGTTGCTTAGAACAGCACGAATTCCGTGTTTATGTTTATCCATCCGATAACGAATCAGCAATGTCTGTCGTTTATAGTAATATACTAAAAGTAAGTTACAGTTGCGCCTATTTTGAAAAGTCTGGTTGAAAAGTCTGAAAAGTCTGGTTAAAAAGTTGAAAATTCTAGTTTTTTATGTGGTCACAAAGAGACACTTCAAAGATTCTTCGCCCTGTTGCTGCGTTCGAAACAGCTATATATTTTAAATATTTTATTTTGTTCTGCTATATCCGCTTATCCGACTCTTTTTTTCTTGTTTTCATTAGTGTTTTTTACACTTTAGACTTGTTTATTTGAGCGAATTTTTACGAGGGATTTGTTACATGAGGTAAATCAGCGTGTTACAGGTTATTCGGGAAAGCTGGTACTACACCAGTGATCCTCAAAAAGCATGTTTGTTCGTCTTGAGCATCGATACTGTGGATCGCGACCGGCGCAGGCAACTCCTTTTTTACTTTTATTGTTGCAAGTTTAGCGCAAAAACGCATGATCACACCGGCGAGTCCGGTGCGTGGGATTTCTTAAAAGTGCTCACAAAATTTTTAGGGTGTTTTCTTGTAAATGAAAAACCAGCACTTAATAATTAGCGATCTTGTTGAGTTCCCTACTTTCTAGTGAGAATTACGTGAAATACGTGAATGAATTGATTGCGAGTTTGCCAAGTGAAATTTGGAATTCTGGTCGGAACCACATCATTTACAATCTTTATCATGGTACATATCCGAACTACTCAGATCACGATCTTGGTTTCAACACCGGCTACGCGATTATCGCTCGCGCCAGCGCAAATGCTCAGGTTTGCGACAAAAACATGTATTAAAAAATGATAAAAAAAAAGAGATATTTTATGTTTCTTGCAAAATAGAAGGAATGTTAAATGAACGCGGTAAAAATTATCTTCATGTAGGGAAGACTAACTTGAACGATTATTTGAATTTGTATGATTTTATATATGAATAACTCGGGATATTTTTTTGTTCTGATTTTTTGTACATGCTTTTGGCGTGTGCGATGTAAAGTCAAGGAGTATTCGCCACGAAAAAAAAACAGGACCAACGGCGGACGTGACGAGAATGAAGGCCTACAGTGGGCAAAATGCATTGTTTATGGCGCCAATCGAACAGAGGATTTGTTCACAATGTAAGCGAATATTGAGAACAGAGGGAAAGTCGCCAATGCATTAGCAGGACCCTTCTTCATGCTTGTGTGGAATTACGCTCATGCGACAGGCTCAGAACGGAAATTTTATTAGTTGTTGTATCGATAGAGAAGAAAGACATAGTACTAAATGGTAGCTCTTTTAAGTTCGATTTAAAAAAGCAGGAAAGGACGCTTCGAGTTGAGTAATGCAAAATGAATGCGGATGGGATGAAACGAACGAAACAGAGAATTTCGAGTTTATATGCGCCACTTTGCTTCATTTGAATTTGTATGATTTTTGCCTCGTTGAACAAAAACTTCTTGTAACTTCAAAAATATGGGTTCTTTTTAAATTTGGGGCATTTTTTTCCAGGTTTTTCGAGAAGAGTTTGATTTATCGTTTCCACTTTTCCATGAACAGCATCCACTGAGAACAACTGTAGAGGTTTGTTCATTTTTTCGAAACCTTTTATGTGCAAAAATTAATTCCTATTTTGGAAAAGTGAGTGTGAGATAAGACAGAAATTTTGGAAATGGAAAAAAAAATTACAAATTTAGCTTACCGATTTCGATTTTCTCCGTTTTTTCATGGTGCGCATTCCCGCCATCAACTGGCCTGGCAAACTTTTCAAAATTGCTCTTTTTTTAGTCAAACTGCTCTTGGTTCTAAAATTTCCTGTCATGAATGGAGCCCTTTTCCGAAAATTGTTCTGGACCAGGAGGGACCCGAACCACTTCTCTTCAAGCCCGGACGTAATGTGTTACCACTACAGCACCGATCATTGTGTTCTAGGTTCAGCCCGACAGTACATCTTCTGTGTATCTGCCTTTCAAGGCAAGGCACCCTTTTCTTTTCCTCTCTTCTTTTTGGCGGTTTTCTGGCCAGCTTTTCGCGGATTTCCATGACACCTGCCTTGCTTGTTCTAATTTTTTTTTTTGTTTTAACTCTTTTGTTTTAATTTTCTTTGTTTTAATTGCCTTCCTTGTTTTAATTTTCTTTGCTTCAACAACAGCTTATCCTTCCAGCACTATTCTGTGCAAGCCACTGTCCATAACAGCTCTGAAGGACGAGGATGGGAACAAAAATGCTCAAACTGAACGTCTGTTGAAAAACGAGTTTAATTTAGGCAGAATGGTCATTGAATATGGTAGACAAATATTTGGTAAGCTTCAAGGGCAAGCGATATGTGTATGGAATAGGCTCGGAAACGCGTGATTCGCTTTACCACCTACACAACGGACATTCAGTGGTGATGGTTACAACATGCAAGCATAACACAGATTGGAAAAAATATGAGGATGACCGTTGCGAAGCAGATAATGTCGAATATGACCGGTGAGTCTAGGCCGTATACTGAGGGAACCGTCCATACTGCATTTCTACCAAAAAAGAAAATCATTCTAAAATGAGCAATAGCAGCGATTAATCTGAATTCTTCAATACGGTGTTAATTCCTGTGCGTTTCTGCGATTAGTTACGAATGTGCGTGTAAGTGCTTGTGTGTTTACATGTAAATGTATGTATGTGTGCATGTGTATACGTGTATGTGTGTGTTTATGTATATGTGTGTACTTGTGTGTGCGTGTATGCGTGTATGTGCATGTGCGTGTGTATGTGTGCATGTGTATGTATGTGTATGTATGTGTATGTGTGTGCATGTGTATGTGTGTGCATGTGCATGTGTGTACATGTCTATGTGTGTACATGTGTCTGTGTGTAAGCGTGTGTGTGTATATGTGTGTGTATTTGCATGTGTGTGTATGTGCGTGTGTGCGTATGTTTGTGTACACGTATGTGTGTATC